TATTAAGTATTATATTTGTCATGTGTTATGGAAACAGACTTTCACACATTTCAGCTGTGGAGCAACACCAAGCTTTTGCTAGCAGGTGGGTTGAACACTGTGCTGCTAGGGTTCATTTCTTTATCAAAGACCATAGCATCTTAAACAGGAGCAGCATTTTATTGTAAGAAATAATAGCAAGATACCATGTAGCAAGCAGTTTATGTTCATAAGCATAATGTTTTTAACTGTAATGTTTGCATCTGTGTGCCTATATGGTTTATTTGTCTATAATTTAGTTTATGTATTTTTGTCTGGTTCTGACATTAGAGCAACCCTGAGTCAGCATGAGTTGAAACACACTCACTGGCAATGTATTTGTTTTTTTCTTTTTCTAGTCTTGTGAAATAAGATGGGAAATACTTTCTTTTATTCTGTTTCTGTACAATTGAAATTTTTTTTTCCTTTTATGTGTGATAGAATTTACCAGTGAAATCATTAGGACTTACGTTTTTGATTCCTGAGGCTTAATTTTTGTGTGTGTGTGTGTGCATGTGTCCACAGGCTTTGAGGAAATTTTTAAATGTGAGTTAAATAACTGAATAAGAACAGAAGGTATTTTTAGGCATTGGGTTGATAACTGAAAAGTGAGCAGTTCAAACCTGCCAGCCCCTCAGCTGTCTGCTCCTGTAAAGATTAGTTTTGGAAACCCTAAGGAGCAATTCTGGTCGGTCTTACAGAGTTGCTGTGAGTCAGAATCAGTTTGATGGCAGTGGGTTTGGTTTGGCTTTTGTGAGTGCTGATATGGGGGTGTGTATTTTTACACCTGTCTCCTGGCAGAGTATACTTAAAATAACATCTCTCTTAATTTGATCTGTAAAAGTTGTAGCATTTCACATCTCAAGACTCTAGTACGCCACACTTTTTTTTTTATCCATCATGAGCACAATCAGTGTGTTTCTTTCTTTCCTGTTTTCCTAAAGTATCATATAAAAACTCCATTAAAAAAAAAGAACTTTACATTAAATTTTTATTTTATTCCCTTACTCTTCCAAACTAATGTATGGTAGATAGTTTGTGTGCTTGATGTCTCTATAGAAACAGTGCTGTGCAATGCTTGTTTCAGAACTGGCTCCACTAAGCTTTGTGACTAGTCTCCCAAGTTACGAGCAAAATTCATTCTTAACTGTGTCTTTTAGAATTTGTAGGTAAGTTGGAACAGATGCATATAGTTGTTACTTAGCCTTGTTTTAGTTCAAAAAAGGAGGTTGGTTGGCTTAGTGAATTAAGCTTTGGGCTACTTAACTTCAAGATCGGCCTTTCAAATCCACAAGCTGCTCCACAATAAAAAGATGAGGCTGTTGGCTCCAGGAAAGATTCACAGTCTTGGAAGCCCTGTACAACAGTTCTGCTCTGTCCTGTAGCTTGACTGTGAGTCAGAATCGACTCAGCAGCAAAGGGTAGTACAAGAGTTACGCGTTGAACTGCTGACAAAAGCTTGGCTAGCTGCTCCACAGGAGAAAGATGAGGCAGTTCTCCGATGTCTCATAGAAATGTTATGAATAAGAATTCAACGGTGGTGGCTATAGTTTAAGAAAGAAACCCTTGTGGTACATTGGTTAAGCAGTTGCTTGTTAACCAGAAGACTGGCAGTTAGAACCCGCCAGCAACTAAACCCTGCTTCCATAAAGATTTTCAGGCATGGCTCATTTTGTTGTTCTTCGTTTTACTGTACTTTGATAGCACTTTATAGATACTGTGTTGTTTTACAACTTGGAGGTATGTGGCAACCCTGCATTGTGAAAGTCTGTTTAGGGTGCTATTTTTTTCCAACAGCATGTTCTCACTTTGTGTCTGTGTCATATTTTGGTGTTTCTCATAATATTTCAAACTTTCATAATGATATTGCACACTTAATAGTAAAGATAACTTTTTATGCACTGTTGTTTCGGTTCATAGTGACTTTGTATAAGGTTTCTGAGGAGCAGCTGGCCGGTTTGAACTGCCACTCTTGTGATTCAAACCAACTTTGTGATCCAATATATGCACTGGAAAACCAAAAAATTGTGACTGACTTTATTGAGATAATCTCTTTATTGCTGCAGGCTGGAAGCAAACCCACGGTAATACCAAGGCATGCCTGTGCAGCCTTGGGAACCCTGTTGAGCAGTGCTGCTCTCTCCTATAGCATTGCTGTATGTATGAGTTGGTTTTTCGTGTAAGGAAGGGCTGGCAAGTGCTTTAAATGAAGGTGATTGTGATGAAGAATTTGTTCCTAGTGGAGCTGATTCAGCTGTTTCAAAGTGAGGGCAAACTTACATAAAATGGAGTCCTAGAGTGACGCTGTAGGATAAGCATTAGACCCGAAGGTCGGTTTGAATGGAAAGATCGGTGGTTCAAACTCACCAGCCACTATACAGGGTCACTTTGGGTCAGGGATGACTCTACAGCACGTAACAACAACAAAGTAGGAGTTGTCTGTAAGCCGGGATTGCCTGTCCTCTATGCCTCTCCTCCAAACTGCAGAAATCATAGGTTTGTTGTGAGGATTAAATACATCAATCCTTATAAAGATGGTAGCAGGTGTATGGTACATAGCAAGTATTCAGGAACTATTTAATAATTTTCTCTAGAAAAATCAAGTCCGAATTTTGATCAGAAATACCTGTGCCCAGGGAACGCTTATAACCGTGCAGTTTATTTTGTTTCTGTGACTGAATGAGCCAACCTTCACAAAATGATTGAAGACTAAATTCAAAACCTGGATATTAATGCATTTTGAGTCAGACTTTGCATGTATACGTACTGCCTGACGCTACCTGCAGCTTAGCTAACCCTAGTACATTGTGATGTTTGAAAGACGTATCTCACACAGGTTTTTGTTTACACTGCCCTGTGCTTTCAGTCTTTTAAAAAAGACTAAGTATGCACCGTTTATTTTCAACCCCCAGTTCAATTCAGACGTATTAGATGTCAGTTATGTTCCCAGCACTTAGGGTTCAGATCAAATGTAAACTAACTTTAGTGTGTAAATTTCTGTAAGTAAATTTAGAAAATATGTCAAATGTCAGTCTGACTTGTATGGTAGCTTTTGGGTTGTATTATTTGTTCGAGGTATGCTTGAAGTTTTTTCCTGAAAATAGATTGTGGTAGGGTAGACATTCAGATTAGCAAGAACTTTTTATATCCTTTCCCTGTCAATACCCCTCTCCCAGGAGTGTGTTAAGGCAAAAAGCCTGTATCTTGATTGTTATTCCCTCCTAGGTTTCAGATGAAAACTACTCATGAGGTTCATGCTTCAGACAAAAATCACTTGGTGCAGTCAACACTGAAGCAGACATCCACTGGTTTATAGTTTGAACTGTTTTCTATAATGCTTGACCCTCGTTGGTAAATGGAGTCCATTTTTGTAGTGGGATGGAAAACGGTTTTCCTATGATTGTTAACATCCACAGTGACATTTTTGAACTCTAAAGGGACAAAGGATAGCAGAGCCTTCTTGTCTTTCCTTTACTGTGTATGTAACATTGTGGATGTATTCTCTTCAGAAGCAATGTGAATGAATTGGTTATACTTGCGCATTTTTGACAATTGCTCCAAAGGCTTTCATCTAAAGTTGACTACATACTTGTGTGAAGAGAGTACTTACTGGACTGGGAATTGGCATTTCTACACCACTACCCACATGAACCAAGTCTCCTCAGTTTCTTCATCTGTAAAATGAGGAAATTAGACTGGATTTGTCTTTTAGATTTTTCTAGCTTAACGTTGTTGTTCAACACTGTTGAATTGGCTCCAACTCATAGCAACCATGTATAGGGTTTCTGAGGAGAATCTGGTGGATTTGAATCACTGACCGTAACCATTAGCAGTCATACAGCACCACACCAGGACACCAGCTTAACATTATATATTCTCATATACTCTGTCTCACTTCTTATTTTAAATAGATTGTTTAAAGGAATAGTTGTTTTTAATTTATTTTTTTATACATCCAAAATTAGTTTGAAGCCTGACTTTGAAAACTTGCAATAATATGACATTAATCAGGAAAAACTCTGTGTGTGCATTGAGACCTGGTGTACAGGTTGAGTCTAGGAGGAACTCAAATGCCTGTTCTTTAAAGTCCTATGTTTGTATTTTCATTTTACTTGGTGGATAAGATGTGCAGTCAGCGTGCTGACATCAGACACCACAGAGGATCTGTTCTGTGTAAATAGAATTCTTAGGTGCACAACATTATATATTAATAAGTAGCATGGTAATGTGTATATGAGAGAAAGAGAGAGACTGACTGCATGTGTGAGAGATTTTTAAAAATTTTCTGCTGAATTTTCATTAATCATTTCTTCCCTTGCCCCTGCCTTTTTCCTGCTGTCTATTAGCTTCTGATGATGATTCTTCTAACATTTAACAAAGCATTTTGAAAAATTGTCATATAAAAGACATTTATCAACCAAAGGTGAAATGTTTTTATTTTTTACTTTAAGTTTGCTTTAGAGGTGTGTTGGGATCCTGATGTGGTTTTGTATAAGCACTGGACTGCTAACTACAAGGTTGGTGGTTCCAACCCACCAACTATTCCTTGAAAACCCTATACAAAGTCACTGTGAGTTGGACAAAATTATCTGCCCATAGTTGGCAAGGCTTAACTAGTGCTCAGATTTAATATTTTAAAATGGGATTTTTATATATTGACATTGAGACAAAATTAATGTAGAATTTACTTGAGAAAGAGACGTTTTATGAATTATTCCTATTTGATATTGAATGAAAAGCTTAAAATTTGTTTAGCTTGGGTTTTTCTTCCAAGACCAGTGAATCATAAGGGTTCTGAGTATAGCAGTGGCTATAGATTTAGGTTAAGGTAGAAAGTGTTCTTGATTTGTTTTTTTGTGCCTGGGCTTTCCAGCTTGATTTTTTTTTTTTTTTTAAGGTGATAGTAAAATATGCTAATGTTCAGTATAATGGTCAGCTTGAGCACTGAAGAGAGAAAATATACATTTATTTCTGTCTTTCAGAAGATGAAAAGGCAAAGCGAGAAGTTTCTGCTTGGACTGTAGAAGGTGATATTAACACTGACCCATGGGCAGGTTATCGATATACTGGTAAACTCAGGCCACATTATCCACTGGTGAGTAAATAAGGTAATAAGAATTTAATGTTCTTTTAAACCAATTTTTAAAACTTCAGATTTCCTTAAAATGATGCAGTTCCAGTAATGAACCAGTATTATATTTGCAAGCCACTAGAGAGAATTAGCAATCGAACAAATTTGGTAGAAATTTAGATGAAAGGATTAAAACAGTTTTTACTCCTAAAGAATGGGGTAGGTAGGATAGATGTTTTCTGTCTGATGTAATGGTAAATGTATACAGTCTTAAATCCTTACTCGTCTTGGCCACTCCCCTACATATTCTGAGAAAGGAACTGGCATTATCAAAACTTAATCATAATGAAGTAGATGTCTGTTATGATATTTGTGAAGGAATTTAAAATTTGTCTTTTTTATTTTGAATGAACTTTTTATCCTTATTGTTTTCTTCCAGCTTTATTTTCTTTTTATCAAAATTCAATAATGAGAGTTACTTCCATGTTTGAGTCTTTTTTGATTAACCTCTTTGATGTTTTAGATGCCAACAAGGCCAGTGCCAAGTTATATTCAAAGACCAGACTATGCAGATCATCCTTTAGGTATGTCTGTGCAGGTTCTGTGTTTCTCAATTTGTGAACCTGATGACTATTACAAAATTGGAGTGCATTTCCTGTAGAAAATGTTCAGAGCCGGGACTTCTTAGACATGTAAACATTTTATTTAAGTTACTTAAGAACTTTTGAGAGAATTGAAATATGTGTCGTATTTCAAAAGCATAGATTTACATAAGGACTGCATTCAAACTAGTATTTTTTTGTATTGTGATATAAAATTCTAGATTAAAAATAGTTATTATTCTAATATGTTCTTTTACATTAATTAAATATTGATTGTTTATATAAAAACAGACTTTAGAGGCCTTTACTTAATGCCTAGAGACCTGGTGGCAATGTGGACTAGTTGTTGGGCTGTTAACAGTAAGGTCGGCAATTCAAACCTACCAGCTACTCAGTGGAAGATAAAGTGATCTGCTCCTATAAAGATTTGAAATACTGGAACTCTGTATAGGATCTCTATGAGTCGAAATTGACTTGATGGCACTTAACAAGTCTCACCATCCTTGTTTCATAGGAGCACTCTGACTGTACTTCTTCCAA